GAAGCTACAGAGCAAAGCCAAGTGCAAGATACGCGGCTGGAATACAGACTTCTACTCGCTGACCATAGAACTTTCCCCGTCTTTTCTGCGCATCACAACCAACGTCCTACCCGCACGGGCGCCCGCATTTAGGAGACGGTGGAAAACCCAGATGCTTAATTACACTCAACCACCTACTGACCCCACTCATCCGCCCCCCCCCCTTCCACAACCCGACGATTATCTAAAAGGTGCAGTTAACTGACTATTTTTATTCCCCATGCCATAACCGGTCTGATGCTGAATGACCGAAAACAGTTGTTTGCCAATACGACTTTTCACACTACAAGCACTCAGCTACGCCACTATAAGCAGCAGTATTAACAATAGTTGCAGTATTAGAAATAAGTGACTCAGGCGCCTCGCTTATGTATGGGCACCTACTGTGTGTGAGTAAGGGTAAATAGTGAAGTAGTACTAGCACAAAAGGCTACTGCAGTACCATGTGGAATGACAGAACCCGCGATATTAATTAGTAATTTCTCGTTAAAAATTATATGACATGGCCTGAAAGATAGATTAGAGAGGGCGAAAACCAAGGAAAGCTCTAATGTGCTAGTATCACCACTCCAATTACTACTACAAGCATCAATAATATTGCCCTATTCCTCTTACACTGACTTAGACTGTCATACGATACCTACCTGATACTGTATTGTCGTACTGCAGTAGGCCTAAATGTAATCTACTGACAGCAGATTGCTCGAGAATGCTGCATGGTAGGACTCGTGCTATCACTATCCACATGCTAATCATTAATACCTCACACAGATTTGGAGTGCATACTGGGTGCTACTCCCTAAAAAGCACACACGGGCAGTACTTATAGTATACGATCAACTGGCCTTAGTAAGCATGATTGCTAGAAATTAGCACTCTGAGCGTAGACACGCACCTATAGCAGCAGCATCTTAGTCCGTTCTTAGTAGAAACGTGCATAGCTCAATGGATAATGTTAAGAGTGCGGAAATCACGACAAACGCTGCTTTGCTCGGGACCCCAAGCATGTACTTGCCTGAAATAGTTAAATTCAGAGTCACACTCCTTGTTGGGACCAAGGGGATATGAGTCCTAGCGTGGGCTTAATCAGTGTCAGCTCTGAAAAATGGTGGCGCCAGTGCCAGCACCAGTACTACTACACTTCTTAATGAGAATGAGGGGATATGAGCCCAGTGCTGACTTTAATCAGCATCACTTCTGACTTACAAAACAGTCAGTAATAGTACCAGCAAATACTATCACTATGTTACACCCTAGTCAGTAGTATTAGAAGTAGCAATATTGGTAGTAGCAGAACCAGTCCTGGCTTACTAAAGTCTGGCCAGACACCTAATATAGGTGAGTAAGGGTAGAATGTGCAGTAGTACCCGCGCACAGTCAACTGTCACTGAAGGCTAAGCAAAGCGGTGTTTCAGGCTGCATTGGAGAAGGCGACTTCCGCCCAAATCCTGCTTTAGTATTATCCCCGGTCAAAGCGGTTAGGGTTAGAATGGGGTAGATCGCGGCTTGTTTACTTTCACTATACCTGACCACAATTACCTACTTTCGTGCTAATGGTGGACAGAATAGTCTGCGATGGTCAAACTAGCACACACTTAGGCTCTTAGAATGGTAAGTTACAATATCAATATAGGGTACCGAAGCCTGTCCGTTGGCAGCAAGTGCATATTTCACAGTGGTTGATGGCTTTCAATCCAAATATACACTTACAATTTCGGTCTTTGCATATAGACCTTAAATATACTGAGCTATACCGCGAACAGAAATTCATTTCTCGGGAAATTAAAAAGATGTACATTTGGATTCTTTTAATGAACCGCATTAAACACCAATATTTAGAAGTGTAAAGAGGCCAGGTTCGCCCTTTTCGTGGGGTCTTATTGTTCAATAATTGTTTGACTCCTCTACAATTCACTTCTAAGTTATCCTGCTCGGAGCCATAAATGCCAGTGCTACGGAGCATCATTTGTGAGCTAACTTTCTTAAGAACTGCCCAAAAGTTAAACAATGACCTCTAAGCGATTTAACGTCATCGGCCACCGCAGCCAAGACTTTGACAATGTTCTAGGCTCTTTACAGTATTCCTCCTCGGGTGAAAATGATCTTCGTGGTCTTGACGAGGCCCTGCAAGAATTTGCTCAGAAAAAGGCACTTGCGGTCAAAAAACGTCGCGGACCGGTAGTTTTTCTTTAAAAATTCGGTAATTGTTGTCTTCTAGGTTATGGGCATTCCCGACGATCAGCTGCCCGAAGAGGTGCAGTTCGAAGT